TCATTTAGCTATATTTATTGAGTTTCATTCACTGTTATCACACACACTTGTTGAGCTTAATATTTTCATACCATATAGTGTGGGTTGTGGGGTGTGATTTAGTGAGTGTGAGCTTCATTGTGTTCTCACTTGTTATTTGAGAACAAATCATTGTATTTAACTTTTATTTGTGAGAATCACTTGTAATACACTAGTACACCGAGAGAAGTGTGAGGCGAGACACGGGGTCGAATCCAATAGGAGTGGCATCGATTGACGAACCTAGAAGAGGTAGTAATCGAGCACTTGAGGAGGAGGACAAGGGGTAGGTTCCTACACTTAGTGTGTATAGTGTGATTGCATAGTGTTTGTGTAGTGTGAGAGTTTTCGGTGATCTTGTAAACCGAGTGTGTAGAAGTTCCGGCTTCCAAACCGGATTGTGATAGTGGATATCTCCTCGAGGTGAGGAGCGGGGACGTAGGTCGTGGTGACCGAACCTCGTAAACATATCGTGTGTTTATGTTTTGCTTAGCGTATATTTTTATTCATAATTATTCTTCATATCCATATCATATTTTTATTCTGTGAGTTTACAGTGTAGTCGACTACTATGCCTTGTAGTCGACTACTATGCAATTTTCTGACTTCACAGAGTCTATTTAGACTCAGTGTAGTCAACTACTATGACTTGTAGTCGACTACAGATGCAGTTTTTTTAGATTTAAGGTTTTGAATAAGTGACTGTTTATAGTCGTTTTGTGGACGTTAATTGGGTTTAAAATTATGTCATTTCAGAGGCTATAAATAGGTTTAAACATTAGAAAATAAGCACCAAGTTTTGCATTTGTAAGATTCACATATTATGCAAATTAACTTTCTAAACTTTTAGTTTTTCAATCTGTTTTTCAATCTGTTTTTCAATAAAAGAGAGTTTTTGATATTGCCTTTGTTCCTATCATTCTTAGAGCTTGTTTAGGCAATATTCAGAGAGTTAAAAAGATTGATAAGCCACTATTACACATTCACATTCATATCAAGGCTTATAGGATTAGAATTGTACATTGCTTCAAAGAAAGGTTCTCTCAGTTTATGAGAGGGGTTGATCTCTTGGTCTAGAGGTCGGTTTACAATTGACATGGTCTTGTCAATTAGGTTTGCAATTTGCATGGTCTTGCAAATTGGTCAGGTTTGCTTTTGATTTTATAAGGTTTCAAAATCATAGTGAAACTTTCAAGCGGGATTTGCTTGGGGACTGGATGTACATCAGGGAGGTGGAACCAATATACATGCTTGTGTTTGTGATGTTTATTTTCTGAGATTGTCATTATTTCTTTGCAATTTTATAATCTACTTTGCAAACTCACCCTCTAGTATTTAAGTGTAAAGCTTTCGCAGATTTTTATAAGAGCACACTCTATTCTTAAGGGTAAAGGCCCTACACTTGGTATACATAAGCAAAATCAGATCCTACAAAAACACAATAAAAATTTGGAAAACTACAAAAGAAATACGCTCAAAAGTTTTTAAAATTGTAAAAAAGCACCCTAAATTTTTGAAATTTACAAATACACAAAGTAATTAAACATTTGTAAAACCCCGTAAAATACAGTGAATGAATTTTTTTTATTGTGAAATATATGTTTATATCATAGATAAATATGATAACAAGTGTTTGGGGATCAAACAAGTGTATTTATATGAGAAAGATCGAGTGATAAGACCAGCACACAAACAACATGCACCAACAGGAAATTTCCTGCGCGGCCGACCGTCGGGCGCGCAACAGAAGAAGAAAGCTTCTATCTCTTGCGCGGTTGACCGTGGCGGTCGACCGTACGCAGTTTTGCCAGTTTTTTTCAGTTCTAGTCTTATTGGGTTTTGGATCGGGTTTGTGGGCTCATATATATAATATTATATTCGTGAGAGCTTCTTCTTCACCACAGAAAATCCTAGCAGCCTCTTCCTTCCCTCTTGCAAACCCTAACCCCTTCTCCTTGGTGATTTCAGCAGATTTCGAAGAGTTTGAGCTAGATCCGGCGGTTTTCGGCGTAGGAGGATATTTTTCCAGCGTTTTTTTAGAGTTGTTCATCATCCCTCATGCGAGTTTTATCTCGCCCAACCCTATACCCATGTTTTTAAATGTTTTAATAATGTTTTTCATGTGATTTGTGAGCCAAACATACTAGATTATGTATAAAAATAGATTTATATGTTATATTTTTGCAAAGAGAACGTGTTTTCAGTTAATAAAGCTCACCCACGAAATTCTTAATACAGATCTAGATATGAGTTTATTTCTAACAAGAGTTTTGTAAGAAAGATTTTTGTTTTTGGAGATTTCGACACAAAATTTACATGTGTAAGATTTGATTCGTTTTATCTATAGTGATTAGACTGAAATTCACATGTTCTGGTTATGCTAAATCACTTATGAAGGATTGATAATGTATATAAACATCGCACGAAAGTGTTTGGATCAAACCACGTAGAACAGAAACCTGAACTAGGGTTTCTGCTTTTACGCGGTCGACCGTGGCCGTCGACCGCGTGTCGTGCACAGAAGCAGTAAGCTTCTGCTCCAGTCACGGTCGACCACGGGCGGTCGACCGCTGGGGGATTTTTTTCTGCTTTTGTCCTGTTGTGGTTAGGTTTGTGTGGCTGGCAAAATATCTGGGTCATATGAGTTTGTTATACACCGAGATTGGTATACATGAGTTGACTTCAGATATGAGTCTTAGATTTATTCACCGGAGCATGAGGGTGAATGGTATATATGTGATTTCTGACACTATTTGCATATTACAGTCCTCGTGTTGAACTATAAGCTATCAAGTCCTCGTGTTGGACTATAAACTATTAAAGTCCTCATGTTGGACTATAAGCTATCAAAGTCCTCGTGTTGGACTATAATCATCAAAGTCCTCGTGTTGGACTATAATCCACTACAGTCCTCGTGTTGGACTTTAAGCTATTATAGATCATACTTTGGACATTTACTTATTGCAAACCACGACTTGGGTATGTAATTGACATATGACAGGTGATTGATATTTCGGTGGGAGATAGAGTTATTACTCCATGTTGAGATAGAGTTATTACTCCATGTTGTAGCTTTTGAATTTGGTATTTAGCTATTTACAATTTGAGCTAAGGGAGGCGTACCTATGCTCGTATTGTAAATTTCTAAACATCAAACCTCTATTTTATTTTTACAGTCGATGTTTGGCTATCTATATGTATTATCAGATATTTTATTATCCTTCTAGCCCTTTCCCCTGAGGTTGGTTGAGATGTTACTCGCTATAGCGCTTTGACGCTCGTTGTTTCCCCACTTTCAGGTAACGAGCCAGGTACATGGAGAACCGTAGCTTGATGGAGTTGTTCTAGTTACCATTTTTAATTTTTGCTAGTAGTTTATGTCAGAACTCCACAATAGATGTATTTTATGAAACATTTGAGTTTTTATTCTAGTTTTGTATAGGCAATGTGCCTTAATATCATTTCATTTGATTCTTATGTCGAGACATTTGTATTCAGTTTAGATATTACCTTTAAAAAGACTTATCCATTTATATCAGTGGTAGTGATTATTCTTCTGAGTATCTGTTGTTTAGTTTCCTTTTTGTATACTCTCTTTTTCCTGTTTTGTACCTACACCTGTTGTTGATTCTACTAGATAGATAGTGACTGTGATGGTGAATCATGTCGTAGCATGGTGTTTAGTGCTTGACATGTTTGACATTCTTAGTTTCACCTTGGACTGCAGCCTTATTGAAACTAGGGGTGTCACAACATTACATTGAAATCAATGAATTACAAAATAATCATTGAAAATTTACAAACTTTGGAGGGGTAATTTACAATATACTAAACTTTAAGGTTTTTTTGTAAATTTCAAATTTAATAGATTTTTAATTTTTTTAGCTAATTTATTAGCCACTCTATTCATCTTATTTTTGAATAGGATAAAAATATTACACATGTGATGATGACAAGCGGGCAACAAGCTGCGCTGCTAATCTTTTTTTTAATTAGTTATGTTCTTTTCAAAAAAGTTATGGGTAATATTGACCATGAATTTTTTTTTCTAAACCTATACTTTTAAAGGGAGTATGACATTTTTTGCAAATTTTTAATTTTCTGGTGGTTGTTATTAATTTTGTATATCCATTCTAGTGTCTATAAGTTAAAAATTATAATGGTGTTTTTTTATAAATTATGATTTTTAGGGGTTTATTGTAACTTTTTTAAACTTATAGGCATTTTCTACAGATTATAAATTGTTTATAGACTATTTATAATTCGTATGTTTTCAATTTACTAATGAGTTAGAAATTCTCATGGTGTTTTTTATAAATTTTTAATTTTGAGTGTTCGTTTGTAATTTTTGAAAATTTAAAGGTTTTTTCTATAATTTTAAATTACGTAGGGGATATTTATAATTCTCTACGAACTGAAATAAGTTAAGGATTTGAACTATATGAAACGTATCTTCTTTATCCAATAACATGTTAAGTCTCATTATGAATAGAATAAAACATTTAATTGTCAATTCAAAGAATGTAGGATAATTAGAATAGATTAGGATAACAATGTAATATTAAAAAAAATTAAAGGTAATATTAACCATGAAATTTTTTCACAAAACTCGTTTATTTAAAGAGAGTATATAATATGTACATGGCAAGATTATTTGTTATTCTTGTGCAGCTTATAAATTGGTTTAGCTTATAAATTTAGAAATGCTTTTTAAGCTGACACTGATAAAAATACGTGCAATATCAAGTTTCAAAGAGACAAGAGACTTGGAATCCGTAATCCATCAGGCTTGCAAGCTTCTAATCTAAAAAAGATCACACTAGATTTTAAATATCCAATTTTGCAAGAAAATATTTTCTAAGATCTATTCAAAAAGCTCAGTGAGTTCACCCGTAAATCATTTCTTCATAATTCTAACAAACCAAACTCTTGCCCACTTTGAATGCCATATGTATAAGCAAGAGCTTTCATAGAACACAGAATACTCAAACAAGGGAACGCACCTGAATATTTGTTCTGCCACAGTAAAATCAATAAACAAAGAGATCACAAAGTTAGAAAGATGGGGCATCTGCTTCTAAAGAGCATGGGGTATACAACATGAGAACTAAAGTAAGGCCACATACAACAGGCGATCGAAAAGAGTTCAAAAAGCAAAATAACATTAGAACATGAATACAAACTGATACGCCACAGAAATCTATAGAAGAGCTTCACAGGTTGCTTTGTTATGCCCAACAACTTTGCATCTACTGCATTTAAGAGGCCTAATACTCGTCTTATAAGGATTAATTCTCTTTCTCTTTGGCCTCCCCGGTGGTCTATTAGTAGGCGGAGGATACGAAGATGCAGGAACAAAGAACTTCATCTCATTAGCATCTGGTAATTTATTAACAGGCTCTGAATAAGTCATGAGATAGCTTTCCTTCCTGAAATATCTCGAGCAATAATCATAAGCAGATTTATCTACCCGATTGAAGACCGAAACAGCGTGTGAGCATGGCAATCCTGTAATTTGCCACTTTTTGCATGTACATTCCCAACTACCAATGTTGACGACATTAACTGTAGTGCTTCGGACCTCAAACATAGTCTCAGTTGAACATACTACATTGAGTGTTTTTGACTTTGACGTCTCTTTCTGCAACTTTTTCTCCAAAGTTGGAGTCAAGGTGCTATCGATTGTGCTCGAAGCTTGTTGACGAGATTGTATGATTTCTATTGTTTTTGATAGCAAAGCGTGCATTATTTGTACTGCAGAACCTTCGTCTTTCATTGATATCCATTTACATAACGGCTCTAAGAGTTCTGATGAAAGATGATCATAGCGTACACCTGGAAAAATGGCATTTGCCCAATGCTCAGGCTTTGTTGACATGATCCATGTAGCAACGTCCTTTGAGATGTTACTAATTCTCTCTATGTATGCATTGAAATCTTCGATCACATAAGCTTGGGCAGCACCTTTAAAACTATCGATTATTGCCTCCTTCACTTGGTCAGACCATGGACCTTTCTTTAGTTCTGCCTTCAAGTCTTGAATCAGATGAGAGAGAGAGAAGCTGTGATAACTATCCACAAAGATCTTAGGCAACAAATCGTCCAAGCCCTTTCGTCGGGTGGACACAATTGTAATTTTATGATATGTTGTTATCGCATATTTCAACTGTACTAGAAACCAATGCCAACTATCGGGAGTCTCATCCTCCACAATAGCAAAGGCGACAGGAAAAATCTCATCGTTTCCATCAAGTGTAGCTGCAACTAACACCTTCCACTGATTATTTATTTTCAAACATATTTTTTCAACAAAAAGAAGGGGGCGACAACCGTGCTCAAAACCATGTAAAGAGGCATAAAGAGAGATAAAACAGCGACGAATCTTTGCATCCAATGTTGAAGTTATCATGCTAACACTGCCCGGGTTAGTGCTCATAATCTGTTCACATAACCATGGCAACTGATTACATGCCTCTTCCTGCAACATGTGAATCTCTTTCTGGGCGGTCTCTTTTGCATGCCAAACTTGGCAGTAGCTCAAACTAATTCCATACTCATTGTAAAGGTCTCTTGCTATATCTTTAGGCCTAGTCCCAGGATTCTCAAGTACTTTTTCTCTGATAATACTTGCTAACCATTGCTTTTTTGCTCGAGGTTGACCAGGTTGAGTAGCTTCACCAGTTAGCACACCACATGTATGAACATTATTCATTTTCTTGATCAGAAACATCTGCTTACGAGATGATCGAGATGCGTGAATTCTCCATGAACAGTTCTCAGAAATGCATTTGGCAGTTACACGAGTATGTTCATTCTTAACGAATCTGTATTTGAAACCCTTGGCAAATGCATATTTACATAATTCATCACGAAATGTCCTCACATTCTCAAATTCTTGCCCGACATCCATAGTAATACTGTCCCATGGGCCACTTGATTCCTGGGGTACAATATAATCACCATTGGTTGCAGAGAGGGGCACTGCATCATTTATAATATTCATGATTTCACTGCAAAAGCAATACATTGCCCATATCATTTTCCATAATGTTCATGCATATGCGTAAGGGGAATCATCTGCAAATACCTATTCATGTCAACGTTGTCCAAAGCATCAGGTTCTAACCTCTCCTGTCTATTAATGTCAATTGTAGAGGTAGAGACAACTGGTGGACCTGGATCATCTGGAACGATCCTATTCAAAATACCACAACATATAAAGGGAGAAAACGTCACATGCTCCGCACAAGGCAAAGCTCTATATAGTTAATGAAAGATAATCTCGTGGAAATAATTATCAGTAATTATCAAATAGGATGAAGGAGATAACATGAAACTATATTTCTAAGCTTGAGAATTGAGACTCCAGAAAAAGTCGGTGATTGAAGGAATTTGTTAATCGCTTATACCAAAGTGAAAAAGACGTATATATGCAGGAATTGAAGTTGTATGATGAAGTACCTGATAGTAACTCTATCAGTAGTTCTTTGCCTCCGGTTTCTAGTGTTGTCTGCAACTGCACTGGTAGCACCCTTAGGCGTGCTTGAATCCGCAACAGAAGTCATATCTCTAGTTGCTCTGTAGGTGAACAAGATTGTATAACAGAGGGTGCTTTGGGAGTTAAAGACATCAGTGATAAAAGATAAAACTATAAATACCTTTTATTTTTAGCAGCAGTTGGCCTCCTAGGTTGACTCCGGTCAGCAGCGGCAGCAGTCTCTACCGTGGATGTACCCGAGTCAGCAGCAGCGTTCCTAATTACTCTAGAAGATTGTAGAACATTGCTTGAGAATAACATAATAAAATTGAAGAAATTTAATCAACCGATTAGGGAAAACTTTGAATTACCGGTTATCATTCTTATTTAGGACATAAATGTCTATTGTTAGAGAATTCACGTGGAACTCCATCATGCGCTCCAGATCTTTGTCATTGGCTACTGTAATAAGGGTTCGTTTATTGAATGGAAGGAAGTATTTGATGGACATTGTGCTAAGTTCAATGCTAAACATGTTTTTCGCAATTTCTGACTGTAGATCATCAAGGAGAATGTCACGCTTGATACTAACTGCATGAGCTTCTCCACCAGTGTATGACATAGTTCCATCATCTTTGGTAACAAACTCGCCGCCTGATTGAACAATAGCTACCACTGTATCTGCCATCATGGTCATTTCTCAACTACATGCATCTGAAAAACAAACATAATACAAAACCTTAGATAATAATAAGGGTCAAATTGGAAGGGGAAAAAAATCATCAGATCAACATAGTAACTTATAATTGACTTGATAGGTTTATGCAATGAGTTGAGTCGGGAGAAAAACGTTCCGGATGTATCTTATCACGGGATTTCTAGAACCACGTCCTCACATCAGAAGCAGGTTAAGGTAAGCAATAAGTCTGCTAACCACTACCTAGATAAAAATTTTACAAGGTTGAGGTTAAAATACTCAGAATATTGTTAAATAATCTTTAGGGATTCAAATACTTTGGGCAACAAATTCTAACTAAAAACCAGACTACCTGAAATATGACAAACAAAGAGCGAAAAGATGCAACTCTAGTGCTTGATTAATCCTCATTTTAATTTTGAAGCAAAATCACTAAGTTCTAGGGCATGTTCGGCAACTGTAAAGTAAATGGAAAGTGGAAAATGAAGAGAAAGTATTTTACAAAGAAAGCACTTTCCTTTCACTTTGTATTTGCAGATCTTGTTGGCAATTGGGAAGTGAAAATGTTGAAAGTTTTGGTGGCAGCTGACATGGCAGCCA